CGGCTCGGCCTTAGCTAGACTCCGGGGCGGCGGGACAGCGCCCAGCTCGGGCGTGAAGGAGGGTGCGGGCGGCCGGGCCCTGCACTGGGCGCCCACCTGACTCGTCCGCTTGTCACTTAAGCGCCGCAGCGGCCTGTGCCACATTACGTGTATCGTGCAGTTCCCCGGGGAAGCACGCAATAAATGGGACCTGGCCGCGTGAAAGAACTGTCACAGGAAAAAAATGAATGTCCAGCTCTAAAAAGAGCTGGCCCATTACAAGTTAGTGCTTGACAAGGTGTAACTACTCCATAGCTGGTTGCTGTGCAGCTTTCCTTCACAAGTGTTCTTCGCGCTGTCTCTGCTTTGGGTGAAGAGCCCTGTGTTTTGCAGAGTAGCTTTCTGTCACTTTTTTGCAGTTCGGGATCGCTGGTGGAAGAATAGCCTCCGTCGTAGGGCTGGGCAAAGGGGGCTGTGTTGCAGGAGGAGACATTTAAGGACATCCAACTGGGCCGGCCCCGTCTGTTCAAATTTATCCCTGTGCTGTTGCATGTTACATCATCATCCAGTTCATAAATGTATAAGCCCGGTCTTAAAACTCATTAGGGTTTGTTCTTTCCTTTAAAGCTTCAAAAATACATGATTGAGTGGAAGTATTCAGAAATGTAACTATTGCTGAGAGAGCACCATATACGAATGGTATTTTTTTTCTTTATTTATAAGACGCCCTGTGATGACTTGTCAAAGAGAATTGAATCAGTTTTATAATTTTTATTCTTCAGTAGGGAGATGTTATCCTCCATTTGTCATAAAATACCCACCTGCTGAGCTGACACATTTCCTAGGTCATCAGCTCTAAGAAGGCATTTATTTTGGAAAACTCTCCATGTGACCTAAATAAAGGTGTCTGTTAGCTGTCATCGATGGAAACCTTTATTCTAAGCTACAGCTCATAAAAGGCATAATATTTATATATCACAGGGCTAGATGTTAGTTCCATTATATATTAGATTGTACTCTGTCAAATACGTAGGACCAGGGCTGGACATGTAATTTGGATGCAAGTTGCTGGGTTCAGGAATAGATCCTAGGCTATCCCCAACAAAACTGTTGCTGCCTTTAGTTATGTTTCCTTCATGTAGCTACTGCATGAATTTTCAAGAAATTAATACAAGTGAAAGTTTGGAGACTACAAGCTGTTTTTGAAAAAGTGAGATCACTTGAACTAAGGAATAACTACTAGCTCTTAGAAGTAGTAGACTGTTACCCTCTGGTGGAAGGACTGAAGTGGGAATGCACACATCTTGCCAGTCTTACCACCAATCGTATGTATTAATTATGAAAAACCCAATGCATTATTTCCTTTAGTGAGGATAATTTAGTGAAGTTGAGCAAAATTCTGTTGAAATAAAAAGATATTTTAGTTGTAACATTATGGTGAAATGCACCCATATTCTTCACAGGAAGAAAATGCTTTCAAGTTTGAATTTAAATGTAAGCAAAATGAGTGTGATAATTTCATGAATGTTATATTTTTATTTATCAAGACAAGCAGCTTAACTCACATGTACACTGTTGTGGTCTGCTGCATATAATCATAGCCTTTGTATTTTAACGTGATAGGTTTCCCCACAGTCCATGTAATAAAGGTTTGTATTTCTGGAGCAGGAGGACTGCCACCATGAAGTTCCCAGTGGCAACAGTGTGCAATAGAGTGGCAATCTAGCTTTCCGCAGTTGTAGGAATCACTAAAGTCTAATATTTGACAAGTTACTGGGTACTGGGCAGTGCCCAGCAGAAGCTTGTTATGCTTGACAATACTTTTTTTTCTGCTGATCCCTGTAAGTTTCTAAAGGACTGCTTTCTGTGCCCTTCCACCTTTTCTGTAAAAAGAAACTTCTTTCCTACCTCTTCCTATAAAAAGCCCTGCTTTTTTGTTGTTGTTCAGGCCTCATGGTCAATGCTTTTGTTTCATTTATAGTTTGTGTTAGAAACTGATGTTATGTTTGTTTCAATTTTAAATAATGCTTCTATGGAAAAAAGTCATCTTCAGCTAATGAAGGAAGAGAGGCAGGTTAGGAAAGGTCAGGAAGGCTGCTGAATTAGAGGGAATCTGTTACTTCAGTTGGAAGGGGGAGAGCAGCCAGAACTGCTTATCAATGAATTTCCTCCCTAGAATGTTGCTGTGCTTCAGAAGGCATCAGAGAAGTAGAGAAAAAATGCCTTTACAACTTTTCTGTTTCCAGAGGGCTAAAGCTGGTGATTTGGGGTGGGGGGTGTTTGTTACTTTGGTTGTTTGTTGTTTGGGGTTTTTTTAAGTATCCCAGTGCAGGTGTATGAAGGGGTTAGCCAGAACTGCAGTGAAAAAGGATGTTAAAGTAGACCTTCTGCATAACTTGGTGGTTTTGCCTATGATTCCTGGATGCTTTTGATATATCTTAAATGTTTTTTCCTTTCTCTGAAGAATTTGCAATAGAAAGTCTTAACAAACTTAAAGCTGTGTCTGTGCTCAGGTTATAGAGAGAAAGAGAAATTACTTTCTTAGGAAGTAAAATGAATTGGCCATGAATATTAATTGGAAGAACTTAATATTTTTGTACTTGGTATATTCTATTCTTATACATCTGAACTACGTATATTTCAATTCCTCCCAGGCTGGAAAAACACTGCGCAACTATGGAGAATGAATCAAACACAACAACGTGTTCTGCATCTACAGCTACTAGCACCACCACCTCCAGGACACAGCCACCACAGATATCTGTCTACAGTGGTTCTGACCGACATGCTGTCCAGGTACTAGACTCTGAGATGCTGCATATAGAGAGATGGAAAGGGATGCTCAAACCCAGGCTACATTATTTGCTTATCAAAACAGGTTGTATAGTTCTGCCTTCCAGTTAAGGTTTAACATTTAATCCTTGCTCTCTCCTGGGTCTCAGTGTCTGACTAAATAGTTTTCATGAAACACTGATTGCTTACAAAAGGTGATTGGACTTATTAGTGGTTGAGTACGCCAAGGCTATCCGACTTTTGAGTGGCTGAGGGCCACAGATTACTCCTCTGACATTTCCTATGTGGGCTGCATGCCATGGTGTGGCACTATGTGGGCATCCTCCCAGCTACATAGTGCCACTCTCTCCTGCACATTGTGCCACATGGCCACGGCCACACTGTGTGCCCCTTGCCTTACTGCATGCGGTCCTTTCCTCTATACCCTGCTGCACTGCTGCATTGCATAGAGTCCGTGAGTCCACTGAGTCCCTCAGCTGCAGGCTTCCTTGGCTGTTCTGTGCTGTGCTGCCCCTCAGGGGTGGGAGCAAGAAGGAGAAGTTGGAGGAGGGAGCAGAGGCCTAGAAACTCTGATGGGGGCAGGAGAAGCTGGAGTGCTGGGGTAGTAAGGTCTGAATTGTGAGCCCAGGGGCCACATCTTAACCCCTCAGGGGCTGCATGTGGCCCGCAGATTGCTAGTTAAATGGTCCTGGTGTAAGCTACTGGCCTGTCTCCCCAGACTAGGAAGGACTAATGCTATGCATGGTTCACTAACACAAACATTTGCAAAGCAAACAGACATAAAGCTGTTTTCCTGACGAGGACAGGCTACAGGGGTCCAAATGCTTTCCTTGTGCCTTTCTACTCAGGGACTTGTCATAAGAGCCATCCTCTCCCTCCTGCAATTCTTGCCCAGTGTCCAGGTCCTTACAGGACACACCTCATCCCTTCACAGTTGGGTTGGATAATTGAACCAAGCTGACTGATCCTCAAAGAGACAGTCCACTATTGCACAATTCCCTCCTCCAAAACCTTGCTAATCTCAGGGCAAGTTTTACAGTCTGAAGTACCCATATTTATAGTCTGCCTCTACCACTTGTATACCTAAATATAAATGGCCTGTGTGCGTGTGTGTGTGTATTTGCTTTGGGGTCTCTGCACACAAATTCTTCAGGTTCCTTTCATGCTTATGGGTCATCAAGAGTAGACAGCTCCTCTCCTCCAGGATTTCCTGAAGCTCTTCTGCCAGTTGCTTATAGGTATACTGAAGAGAAGCTAGAGTTACTGAAACCTTTCCAGTTCCCCCATGGAGCAGTGTCTGAGTATCAAGTAAGAAATTTGGCTCCCTGTAACACAGTGAATTTCTTATGTTCCCATTTGGTCTCACCTGTCTCTGTTTCTTTTAAAATAGCTTGAGCAATAACAGCTGCTCACTGGATCATTTCACAATCTTTTTTTGTTATCACATACAACCACAAGCTCATTTCTTCATAGTCTGTTCTGAGAAGTGATCGTCTTCTGTCTCAGTCATTACTATTCCATTTTATTAGGTTATAATCTCCCCAGTCACTTCTTGTAATTACTACCTCTGTCTCTTTCATGTAAAGGATTTTAATCTCTTTTGAAGGAAGTTTCCTTGGCTGGTTCTCTTCTCTAGCCAGTCTCATTCCAATCAAAGTAGAAATCTTATAAATCTTGCAGTCCTCGTCACTCTTATCATGATATTTATCTTTATCCCACTCTTTTGTTTTCTGTGGGTTTGGAGTGTTTTGTAGATCCCTAGCTATCTTCACAAACCTCCAACCATTTGGTTTCCAAGGATGATGCCTTGACTCATTGCTGTCCCAGAGTGAGTAGAACCCCCAGTAATCCATTTACTGTGGTGCTGGTATTCAGCTGCAGACTGCAACTCCTTCTGTTTATTTTGCCTCTCCAGAAGCTGCAGGGGGGCTCCCTGCTCTGCCTTTTGGTATTTCTGTTGTATCATTGGCGCTAGGAATATAATGTCCTTCATCCTGTCCCCCAAAAGTGAGGGCAGGGTGGGCCTGGAGAGAGATGTTTCTTTGCTGCCTCCATTTTTTCTATAGCTATTTTGATTTCCTCTCTTCTCAGGGCCAGTCATCCCTGTGCGTTTTCCAGCACTTTTAAATTGCCAGACTCCCTCCCCAGTCCAGGAGGGACCAGCAGTAAACTCAGTGTTTTTCAGATTTTTCCTGCAGGACCTGGTTTATTAATGCACAAAGAGAAACTTGCAAAATAACACAAAAAAAACCCCTCAATGACAAAAACTAGCTGGAGGGGCCCAAAAACCTTTCCCTCTGTATCCCTCCAGGACCTTCCATAGAAGTGAACCATCCTTCTATTGCCCTTCCCCCAACTGAGCTCTTGGCCCTTCACAATGGGGTCTGATAGTCACAGAAGACTTTTTTTTTTTTTAGCTCTGTGGTCCTTAAAGGAGTGGAACACCTTTTTACAAATAAAAATGGTACTGTTATACAGACTAGATTTATTATGTTTCTTATAGATATGTAGTAGAATATATTAATTGCCTTAATTAGAAATACCATGAGTCCCAGTCTTGTATGCTGGCAGGGTCAGTTCAGTTCTGCACCATTTAGTTTATTGTACAAGTTAGTTTTTTTCTGATCAGACTTTAAAAACCAAAATGCTCAACGTGTAGATAATAAGATTGAAATCCTGGCAGCACTGAAGTAGTGACTTCAGTAGGGCCAGGAGTTTATTTTAAAGGTTCTGTAATACATTTCTTTAAGCGGGAGTTTGCCTCAGTGTTTTTGCCTCCTTATTTATCTTCAGTCTCCTGCTATAGTCCAACATTTTGTGCCAGTTATCCATTTGGCAATTGTCCTGTGCTCCAGGAGAACCAGCTTTCAGTGATGCAGTGTTTACATGTAACTTGTAAAATGACTTAAATCAAAGAACAGGCTACGTCTGTAGGCCAAAACATGTATGTTAGCCGCATTTTATAATCTACTTGAAGAGCGGTTGTTATTTGGGGACTTTAGCATTATGTAGCTGGAGGAGAGTTTTATGTCCTCTCTAGCATAAATTTCTATGATAGTATCCATAAGATGTTGATTTCATAGTTGTCTAATTACATATTGGTATATTGCAGGTCATTCAGCAGGCCTTGCATCGTCCCCCTAGCTCGGCTGCTCAGTACCTTCAGCAGATGTATGCAGCCCAACAGCAGCATCTGATGCTGCAGACTGCTGCTTTGCAACAGCAGCACTTAAGTAGCACCCAGTTTCAGAGTCTGGCAGCTGTTCCACAGGTGAGAGACTGAAGCACGTTGGAAACTAATGCTCTAGGACTGAAAAATTAAACTGCTACCAAGCCTAAAGCTTAAGTGCCTGATACTTAACATCTCACAGTTAAGTGCAGTATTTTAATGACTTGATTCTTTTAAATGATCTCTGTTATACACTGCCAACACACTTGAGCATTTTGTGTATTTTCATAAAAGTCTCTTGCACCATACAAATAACTGCATAAGCAGTAAAAAATCTCAGTGATAACAGAAAAAAATCCAGATGCCTCCACTCTTCAGCCTTCCTTCTTTCTAAAAGTTTATGCTGAGGGAATGAACATAACACCTACCTCAGAAGAGATAAATACAATAATGTTTTATATCTAATTTTGATAATTCGTTGTGTTTTACTATGACATGAAGTTACATTGTAAGTAGCAAATCTCAGTTTATAACCTTGACACTGGAAAAGAAAGAAGTTTAAAAAAAGAGCACTTTATTCTCATTTGCAAAGGCTGTATCACTAATGCATATGTTAGGCCTCTTCAATACTTACTGAAGTCAAGGTAAAATTTTCTGTTGACTTCAAAGGACACTGGATTGGGACCAATGTTCTGGAGAGAAAGGTAAGTACTATCATTTAACATGTAGAGAAACTGAGTTAAAGATTTCAAGGCTATAAACTGTTGTCAGAGATTGGATTAAGGCTGGAGAGTTCTTAGCTCCCACTTCTGTGGCTTTTCTGCTGGCTGATGTGGATGTGTTGGCTTATGAATGTTTCCTCCACCCCCTTTACCCCAACTCATGTATTTAAAAAAAATCAGATGTATGTACAAATATGTACACATTTACATTGGAAAGCAAATCATAGGCCTGAAATAATTCTGAATGATTTAAAAGGCTAATAATCAGCTGGCTGTTGTCTGAGAGAGAATTGTGTAATTATGCAACGAAAGGCTGAAAGAACTAGGGTTATTAGTTTGGAGACTGAGACTTGGGGGGGGGGGGGCTTTGATAACAGCCTGCAAATATTTGAAGTGTGATTGGAGATGGACTTTTCCGTGTGGCTGTAGAGCATGGGACTAGGAGCAATGGTGTCAAACTTGCAGAAATTTAGGTTGGAGTTGGGATGAACTTTCTGGCTACAAGGCTGGTTAAGCATTGGAACAGGCTACATAGAGAAGCTGTGGGATCTCCGTCCTGGGAAGTTTTCAAGAACAGTTTGGACAGACACTTGATTGGAATGATTTAGTCAGGGATGATTCTGCCTTGAGCTGTGCGCTGTACTAGATGACCTTATGATGTCCCTTCCTGTCCCATTTTCCCATGATCTGGATCTAAATTTGTCAAGACTCAGCAGAAGGTAACGAATGCTGCGTGCGTATTCAGTAAGGAGCAGACTATGTAAGGAAATGGACTGAAATCTGTATTTGGAACTTGATCTTGAAGTTCTTACTCCAGCAGGCCCACATTAAAATTGGGGGATGAGGTGTGACTTCTTGTATGAGGAAAACAGGATTGCGTTCTTATTTAGTCTGAAGGTTGTGTTTCCTTGACGTTCATCTACATTTTAGACTTTTGTCCATGTTGCAGGTAACACAAAGCAAAGCAGAACTACCCATAATCAATAAAGGCAATTATTCTTAAACATGCTTTAGGGGATGGGGTGGGGTATCCAACAATATTAAAAGAAACATGACATTTCAAAGTATTTGTGATAGAAGCTATAAGCATTTAGGAAAATTTTATTGATCTGATCTGTTACTAATTAAACATAATTTGGGGATTTTCCACAAGTGGTATCTCAATAGGATGTTATTGTAGTATTAGAAGATGTATGCTAGCAAAACTATAATAAATACAGTTACAGTAATGTATTGATGTTCTGGTAATTTAGAATTAAAAGGCTGATGTTTTGTCTTGTATGTCGAGGATTTTTTTTTTTTTTTTAGCTTGCCCATAAAAAAATGTAGCTCCTTGAAACAAAGAAAGCGATTTCTTTCTCTCTCAGGCTTGAAAATATTTTAATCATTTTACAGTGCTAAATGCCAAAACATTAAATATTTAAGCAGTTTTGGATATATACAGATAGAAAATCAAACATCTTGTCTATAAACCCAGGGGGCTAAATTCAATGACCAGAGAGGCTGCCTCCTAGTTTGTTCCTGTATTTAGTAGTTTATGCCATTACATTATTTTTTCTTTGTCATTTGGTACAAAAAAATGAGATGACAAAACATTTAAGCCTGAAAACTTTTTTGGGGGGATAATTACTCATTTTTGAAGACAGGCTATAGCAAATAATTTTTTAATTATAGTACAAAACAGTTTTAGAAGGATTATAGTCAAAGTTGGGTTTGTTTGGGTTTTTTTAAATAGATTTTCAGTGTGCATGGTGGACTGTACACCTTGCTCAGTCATTAAGTGTCCTGGGTTCTACTAATATGTGTTCTTTGTATAGGTCCTGAATCTGTAGGGTTCAGGATGCCTGCAAGTTAGAGATGAGTTTGACACCTTGCAGGTTTAAGTCCAAAGTCTGGTACACACCGCTGGAAGCATTTTTCTGATTCTTCTAGGAAAATATTTTGCAGGTAATTCAGAGAGAGAGTGCATGTTAAACTAGAGGTTGGATTTCTGTTGGTTTATGCAATAATATCCACGTTATTTAAACAACTTTGTTTTCAGCTTAGATGACACATTTGACACATGTTCTTGCTATTTAGGCAAGTCTGTCAGGTGGGAGGCAGTGTACATCCCCCACTGGGAGTGTCACTCAGCAGTCAAGCATGTCACAGACATCGGTATGTATCTGAACAAGGCTCTCTATCCCATCCTAGCCTTTGATTATAATACAGCGACTTGAAAAGAAGACAATTATTTTAATGTTTAAATAGATGAATCTGATTTAAAATTTCGTCACAAGATACTGACAAAATATAAGTTGAGGTAAAAAGACCTGTTAGATCACAGAATCCACTCTTTAAACATGAGTCTGCTAAAGAAAGAAACGTCATTGTACATTTAAATTAGTATAACAGTAAGTTGGGACTTTCAGAGAAACGTATGAGACTTAGGTACCAAATACCCATTGAAAGGTGTTGAGTGCTTAGTTCCGTTAGACCTCTTTGAAAATCTGAGTCTTATTTTGATAAAATATTAAAGATAATTTTTTAAGGGTGAAGATCTAACATGAAGTTGCAGAACACTTCAGAGGTTTCAGCGGAAATTTAAAAATTTTGAGTTGGGGACCTCATATGCATTTGTGGGCAGATAAAGAATAGTAGCCTGACATCTCTTTTTTCAGGGCTGCTGAACAAGCTTGTAAGTATGTAATACCTTTGAAGATCAGGCTACATCTTATATAGGTGCCTAAGCATAGGTTTGTGGGCTTACCTTTAAGCACCAAAAATCTGAATATTGTTTTTGGCTCGTGCCACATATTCAGTAAGTATTTATTTATGGTAATGTTACATTTATCAGTTTTCCACCCTATATAAGAAAATTGGACTCTGAAACAATAATAATTAGGTGCTTTAACTTTTTCAAATATTTGTCTATTGTTTGTTTAATGAAAATATTAAAGCACTTTGAATTTTGATTCTCTTATTATAGGTTTTAAACACTGTTACTTTGAAGTATTACACTTTATTTGTATGGTGTACATTATTGTGCATAACAGTGAAGGATTTGTTCGGCACCTATTTGAAAGGATATTTACTTGCTGATGGAGTACATATACTTAGTAGGGAGTTAATTAAAATGATTGAAGACCAGATTGAAACAGACATCATGTAAAATTTCATAGCCACCATTGCTTCACTAAATTGCACATTTTAAAGCACTAATACTGAATTAGTGCATTTATGCATTTAAACTGAGAATTTTGAACAAATTGGTCAGTTAACTATCTTATACAGATGCTTAAGTTTGTGTTTGCATTATGATAACTGTACATAGGAATCATCAAGCAATTATACATGGTTGTGTTTTGTAAACCAACAATAGCAACTTTTATTATAGCAGACTCAAAAGTATAAAGGATTTCAGTTTAAATCCTGTAGGTTTCAGAAAGACAGACTACTAGTGTTTGTGTTGGCACTGTTTTCATCAACTGGAGCTATAGGTTTTATAACATGTACAGGTATTTGTATGCTAGTATTTTTCTAGCTATGATGTTAATTCTGATATTCTAGCTTCATTGTTCAGTTTATAGGTAGTTTAGATTAAATTTATATCAATTGGCAGCATTACTGACAATTATAATAAGCTATCAGATCTTTCAGTTTTAACTTTCTGCTTCCATTTAGTTTAATATAACTTTGTAATTGTCAGGCAAGTGCTATCAAATGGCATAATCATAACAAATAATAAAATAATCATAATAAATCAATAAAACTATTATTTTTCCCTCTTCGGTTAATAGGCACTGGCATATTATCCCTGGGAAACCAGTCTTTTTACTACTTAGTTTTATTTCTGTTTTAGCCTAGTAAATTAATTGCAACCTTCTCCAATGTGTTTGTTCTGTAGTTAGAATTTCCCCACATTCATTTTTTTTCCTAGCTCTCAGAAATAAGAATGCCTACTGATCTAATAAATAATCACAACCCATCATTCATTAAGAATATAATAAACCAAATGATCATTAATTAAACCTAAGGATTATTATGGGGAGAATATAATTCAGTGTTAGTTCACAGTGGTATTTAATATGTATTAAAGATTTATATTAATGGCTTTATCCTTCTCTGGGGTTTGTTGTACAATTGGTACCACAAGTTGTTCAGAACCTGTACCCTGGTGAATACTGCCTTCAAAGCCAGTTACCATCTTTGATTTTATGGACACGTTGGACTAAAATTTAATTCTTTGTGTTGTCTAGTCACAATTTTGCTAAAATGCTTTTTAAGCTTTTCATTTGAAATTTGGCTTGTCTGAACTTTTCTTTTATTGTTCATATATCACTAAAGAAGCACAAGTTTGTATGTATTTAGGAAAAAAGATCATGTTTACAACCTGATATAAACATGGTACTCAAACCTGTGAGTGCAACTTGGCTGATCATACCAGAGATAGCTTTGAATTATCTAATTCAGATAAGTGTAACTAATGGCTCGATGTTCAGTTGAGAGGGAGGTGGTGTTCCCCAGGCTCTGTCCTGAGCTTGGTTTGGTTTAGTGTCCTCATTAATATTTGCATGGTAAATCAACATGGGATTGAGTGTGTGCTTAGCAAATTTGTGAATGACACCAAGTGTGGTGGAGTTGCAAATACCCTGGTGGGTGGGGCTAGGATCCAGAATGACCTGGATAGACTAGAAAAATGGTTTGAAATCAGTCAAATGAAATTTAACAAGTACAAATACAACATCCTGCCCTTGGGGTGAAATAATTGCATGCATAAAGACAGACTGGGGGATGATTAGCAGAGGAGGACCTGGGGGGTTACAGTGGACCATAAGCTGAATATGAACCCACAGGGTGCTCTTGTGAAAAGGGCCAACAGTATACTGGGTTGTATTAACAGGAGTGTCACTTGCAAATCAAGGGGAGTGATTTTTCTGCTCTATTCAGCACTAGTGAGGCCTTACTTGGAATATTGCATCCAGTTTTGGGCTCCACACTTCAAGAAGAATGTGGACAAATTGAACAGAGTTCAGCAGACAGCAACAAAATGATTAGAGGCCTGGGAAGTAAGATTTGTGGGGAAAGGCTGAAAGAGCTAGTTTATTTAGTCTGGAGAAGAGAAGACTGTGGGGGGATTTGATACATCTTCAGGTACCTGAAGGGTGATTATAGTTTGGAGATACGCTTTTCTTTGTGGCTGTAGGACTAGGAGCACAGAACAAGCTGCAGCTGGGGAACTTCATACTGGAAATTAGGAAGAACTTTCTGACTATGAGGGAAGCATTGAAACAGAGACATTGTGGAATATCTATTCCTGGAGCAGTTTAGCCAGACTTTTAACTAGGATGATATAGTCAGAATTAATCCTGCCTTGAGCAGGAAATGCTTTCCTATGTTCTTATGAACCGTGGCAGCACAGAGTTCAGTGCAGGTTTCAAACTCCAGTGAAGATCCCAGGAATATGCTTGGGCAGCTAGCCTATACTGAGCTCTGGTGCTGTGTTCTGTCCTGCCATAGCCATGGGTTCCCAAACTGATTGTTTGAAGCTAGTCCAAACATATCTACATGAGCTCAGCCACACCTTTCGCTTGGATAAAACCAACAGAGTAAGGTGTGAGAGGGAAGAGACAGTTTTTTGAGGATTATTGATGCCTTGAGCCAGTGATATATTGATATGTTATATGTTTCTTAATTATGTGTATCTTAGCTATTTGTTTAATGCAGAACCAAATATAAAACCTTAAAATTGTTGTGATGAATGACTCTAAATGGTTGGTTGCATTACCCAAGCACTGTTAAATGTAAATTGCCACATAAAGGAAGCATAATATACTGCCATATTAACATTGCTGCTCATAAAAGCAGATACCATATAGTCCTACACTCTATTGCCAGTTGATTTGTGTTGAAAAAATATAGCAGTCATAAATTTTGACTCAAAATATTGTTGAAATCTTTAAAAGTTGGGAGCTCCAACTGCCTTGTGGTTATTTGTCGAGGTTGATTGGCTTTAGATTCCAGGATGAATGGCCATGACCAAAGCAACATTTTTATTTCCTTAGATCAACCTCTCCACCTCTCCTACACCTGCGCAAATAATAAGTCGTTCACAGACCTCCAACACTACTAGCAGCAGTATTACCCAACAGACTATGTTGCTGGGGAGTACCTCCCCTACGCTGAGTGCAAGCCAGGCTCAAATGTATCTCCGAGCTCAGATGGTAAGTGTCGTGAGTTGCAGTGCTCAGATTTGAGTTTTCTTAAGTGAACTTACAAAAAACCCCCTAAAGATGACACACAAATCGTTTACAGGCTATGTAATTTGGGAATTTGATAGCTAATTTTGTCAATTAAATAGTTTTTAGAACAATTTGGACCACAGAGAAATAAAGGGACTGTTTGACTTGAGAGCAGGAAAATGAAACCTACCTTGAAAACAGGTCAGTGTTAGTCTGGTGCATATTGTCGTAGGGGAGCAGATCAAACATTCGTAAGGTAGGAACAAAATATCTGTCCTTGCTTAAGGATATGTGAAGAGGCATATCGTATTCCCAGCAGATTGTTCTAATATGCTTCAAACATTAAGAGTTTACAGGCTCTTGATTAAAGCTTTCTCACATTTAACTAAGAGTATGCTTTTAATGGAGTATTGCCTCTAGTGTTTGAGCTGGGTTTATAGCTTTCATTTGCTCTGAATTCATACAAGACGCATTTGATTCTTGCAATTTCCTATTAGTATTTTTTTCTTTCACAGTTTAAAATGAAAGTAATTTTCAAATTGTGACTAGTTTTACAGTGAAACAAAATGGCTGTTTTATAAAATCTTAACGATGGTGACTTTAATTTAACTGTGTTTTGCAGTACCAGTATGGGTCCCCGTCTCTTGCAATGATCTCAGTGTGCTGACTGCTTTATTTGTGCAGAGCCTCATCTGAAGTAACTGAGGCTCTGCATGAGTGTATAGATCTGCTCAGGAGCTGTTGCTGTCTTCAGCATGCAAGAAAAGAGGGAGTTTCACAGGGACTTAATGATGTATAACTAAATCCAAGTGGTGGATGTGTGGTGTGTTTTGACACCACCTACTCAGTATGGTATATGGCCTTTATATGTATGTATACAGCTACGTCCACACTTTATACCTTTCAGTATGTATCAGTTAGTTGTTGCAAACAGCTGAATTAAAAACTCATCTCCTGTTTTACTGCACCATCCTTTTCTCTTGCCTTAATAAATGCAGTCTTGCACTGTTCATATCCAGTCAGAATGACTCTGCAAGATCATTTTCCTAGTCCTGTTACTTTGACCGTCACCCCTCTCTTTGGTTTTTTTTTCCCCCTTTCACATCAAACATAAGCTACTTTTCTTCTCTTTCAAGGCCCTTTAGGATATATCTGTGCTCTGCTTATCTTATTTCTTTCTGTAGGAAAAGCTGAGTTTTACTTCTGACCAACCCGTGATGCCTGCTTAATACATTTTCAGGCCATTAGTTTGTGCTTTCTCCCATGTTGGTGCTCATGTTTGGGGGAAAAAATCCTATAATTATCTGCCAAACTAACTTGTCCTCCTTCAAACTCTGGGTTCTCACAATACGTACAAAAAACTTAGTAATGGCTAGGCCACGGGAATTCTGTGACTGCTATCCATCATGTTGCTGAGACCACTGTCCATCATGCTGACCAATTTGTTTCCTTTTATTTGCCTGTCTGTACCCATCTGTTTTAGCTCTCTGGATCAGGGACAATCTTATTGTTTTGTGTTTATGCAGTGCCTAGCCCTGAAAGTATAGACAGAAGTAACAATTGTATTGATATCAAATTATACTGATATAAGCTGTTACAACGGAACGGTTACCACTGCATAAGTCTGTAGCATTATCAGTGAAGCACAGCTGCTGGAACTTTGATCCTGTTTCATTCAGGGTCAAAATTTGAGCAGATTAGCTCATTTGTATCTTTACAGGATCCTGCAGGTGTAATAGTTGCATCAAAACACTGATGTGGGTTCTTGTTAAAAGATATATTTGTCCATACCCAGGAGCTCCAAGGTCTGTGGTAGTACAATTAATATTTGTATTTCAGTATCTCGTATCTGGATATAAGTTAATAATAGAAGTATATTGTATTGGAGTATATAACAATATAAGGCAACAGCAGTTTTTATGTATTTACTTGTATCTGGATGTTTAAGGGGGAGGCATTTACTGTATCTTGGGAGACTTGCAGGGTGTCAGGGAAGAATATACTGGCTCCAGTGCCAGGTCTCTTTTTGTTATGGTACCATTTTTTTGTACAGTATCATTAGAGTTTTATTTCAGGTCCTTTCTTGTAGTGTTTTGCCAGAATAACAGGTTTAATGCTGGGCCCTTGTCTTCACTGTGTATTTCTGAGAGA